CCCCAAAACCCCAAAACCCCAAAACCCCAAAACCCCAAGGCTTATTTCAACAGTTGAGGAATCATATATTTTTTAAGGCGAATATGGAAGAACCTGCTAGACAGATCCCAGAGGAACCGATAGAGCAAGACCAAGATGAGGGTGTTGTAAGGAGAAGAAGGAGGATGGTCCAGATCGCTGCTCCTGATCTTATTAACAGGAATATTGAGTACCTAGAGGGAGGTATTTTGAGGATTATCAATAGAATCTTTCCAATGCCGGTAGATGGGGTTGGTGAACGAGAAGCTTACTCCAGGTTTACCTCTTCAGAACTTGCATCTTATATGATTAACTTGTTAAAAGAGCGAATTATAGTGTTGAGACTTATCTTGACCATATTTGTTATTGTGTTTACAAACTTGACTAATGTTATTTTCTTTTTACCCAATAAAAATTCAAAGTGGGATCAATTACTAAAGACAATGATTTACCTTACACCTGTCTGGCAGTTGATATGGTTCATTCTTTTACTAATGGGGAAGAATTACTCAAAAGTTTACATAACCATTAAGCTCATTTGTATCTCATTGATATGCATGACGTCCGTGGTTGCTTACCTTGGAGTGAATGTGCACCCTTCCCTGTTTCAAGCATGCGACTCAAGGCTTATATTTATAGTCTGAGTAATAAATATCTTGTCAATTATGCTCTGATCCTTCTTTGTTTTGTTCAGCATTGTGCTGATAATTATTGCTAGTGTCATTTCATTAATATTTGCTATTGCTTTTTTGCCATTCATGTTGATATATCTTTTAAGTTATAATACTTGCAAAGAAGGGGTGAATCAGGCCTATAAGATCTATAACATTAATAGAATGAGGTCTCTATATCACTCCCAGCAATACGCCAATGGACCCATCCAGGAAAATGGGGAAGGATGAGGAACTTGAGTCATTTGTTTTCTTGAATTTAAAGAAGATGTAGACTATGTGCTCAATTTCGATTGAAAGCATGTCTTTCACCAACAATGTGTAGAGAAATGGATGAACATGAACAAGAATTCATGCCCTCTTTGTAGAAATAAGATATTTTAATGACAAAATTCTTTGAATTAAGCTTTAAAATCTTTTGGGTTTTCACCCATGTTTGAAATATTGGCTCTGATATTGTAAAACAGATTAGTAAATTATCCAAGGAAGATTATGAATTAGGGGTTTTGGGGTTTTGGGGTTTTGGGGTTTTGGGGTTTTGGGG